TCGTCGTGAAAGGAAACGACATATCGCGCGCGCATAGAGGTCAACAGCCGTCCTTTCATTTAACGAGGTCATTAACGAAACATCCTCGTTATACTGGGCGTGTGTCTTAACAGAAACCCGAGGGAGACAGTAACCTGTCTCTGTCCGCTTTTCACGGTTCATAAGTCGACGCGGTGATTTATCGACGAACGGCGACAGCGGTAGCGGAAGCTGAGCTTCTTCAGCGGACTGTGCTCCTCTTCTCGTGCGCGGCTCCTCGGATTTATGGGATCGGACGAGCGGCTAATTCATTCGCGAGCTCATGTCTGTGCACCCTCGCACGAGCGATTATAAATTCACGCGAGATGATCGCGCGTGTGTCAAGTTAGGAAAACATTATAAAGGACCGCTTTGATCGATAAGATATGTACTCGGATAGACATCGCCATGTTAGCCAAGCTAAATTATAAATTCGGGAGTTTCCAATTAACTCGAAAAATACACTGAGGGAAAAATATTTTTAAATCAAATAAATTTGTTTTCTTGAAACTTTTGCTTTAAATGCAAGGAATTGTTTATTTCATTTAAGCAAAAGCATTTAATTTTAATTAAATATGCATGTTATATTAAGCATTATTTTCATTTATATATTTTTTATATTTAAATACTATTTTCGTAAAATATATACTATAATTTATTAAATTAAATATATTATTTTTTAAAATTAAAAAATTTTTGAGAATAGAAAATGCATTTTAATAAATATTTTATAAAATTAAAATAAAAATATTTAATTAAAAATTATATTTTATTAAGTATATATATTTTTTTAAACATATGTAAATAAATACTTAACTTAAGCAAACAGACGTTTTACGAATACAAGTAAATACGTGATTAGTATCCACCGAATAAATAGCTTTCTTGAGTTAACTAAAATTTTTTTATTTCAAGATAATTTTTTCCTCAGTGTACAACTGAATCATACGTGATTCTATCGCATTGAGTTGGCATGCCTCGAAATTTACTCTGGATTATTTTATTCGCTCGATGATAAATACGTGTTGAGAATGAAATCAGAATATGAAGCACAAACGTTTTGGATTATGCATGACTCACTTATCATTTCCGCGATTTAATATGTATTAACGTAGATTGCCAAGAAAACGATGTGCCGAAGTAGTTACTGTTGAATAAACTAAAGAAATTAAGTATTAATGTAACTACTGATAATAAGTATGAAATATAAAACGAAAAATAATATTATATAAATATTAATATAAAATATGTATATTTGTGGATATATTACAAACAAAAGAATGAAAAAAGGATATTATAAATATGTTCTTTGCATTTTTATATCGTTTTGCACTCTTTATAAATTTTTTAATAATTTAAAAAATGAGATATGTATTAAATGTTGACAAATTCTGAATTTTTCTGAATTTTTCTGAATTATTGCAATTTATTATATACATATTTTTGCAAAGACCAAAAATAAAAAATGATTCGAAAATATATTAAAATATTGTACAAAAATCCAATTTTACTCGCATTGTAAATTATTACTAAGTTGCAATTGTATCTCTTCACATTTTACTTTTTCTTTCAAATTTATTTAAAAAATATTAGTTTATTCAAACGTGTCTTTAAAGTAATTTTTATCAATCTTTTTGTGTATATATATATGTTTGTGTCTGTTTCGTAATTTATGTGTTTACATGTTCATTATCTGTTTCATGAGTCTATTAAATCTTCTTTCGCAAACATTTCGCGACAAGCTTCAAATGTCTTAAGTCCGGCTTGCGTTGAACACGCGGATGTAATCTTTCTCTTTGTGTTAAGTTTTTCGAGCCTATGTATTTACGTAATACACAAGTCGTGCGGACATTGTAGTAACCTTATTGTAGGAGCATGTTTCAAGAACGTAAATTCAATAACAATCTCCCACACGCGATATGCTATCCCACGGGATCAATGATAACGAGATCAATCAATGATTTCGTGATTGATAACGAGATCACTCAATGGTGTCGTGATTGATAACGAGATCAATCAATGAGATGTACTGCATTGCTTAAACGAACATGTCTAATTCTTGTTAGAGTTACATAACACGCATGTGCAATATCTTGTTATTTATTCAAGGATTGAACACACAAATACAAGCCATCATGAAAGCTTCAAAATTCAATGTATAATTGGATGAAAATGTGTTTATATAAACTTATATATAAACACATTTTCATTCAATTAATTTATATATTATATGTATTTATATATTATTTATATATATTATATATTATTGTATATATTTATATATTATTTATATATATTATATATTATTATATATATTAATTAATTTATATATTATATATATATGTATAATATTTATATATTATATATTATATTATATATATATGTGTGTGTGTGTGTGATTTGGAAAATAGTTTGTTTAAAAGTAAAATTAAATGGCAAGTAAATAATAAATAATATTACACAATTAATATTTTTTATACACACATGCTAAGGCCATCTTACAAATTTGACATATTAGTTTTCGCAATTTTAACTGTATAATAAACGAGTCAAACATAAAATTATAAATACATTGTCATGTGTCACGAACGAAAATAACAAAGGACTGCGGTTACAGCGCAGTTTCGCTAAATTCCGTTAAAGCAGTTAATTAATGATTAAGTTGCCATTTGAAGGAGGGCCTGTTATAACAAAGTCGCACGCGCCGCGCGTTCCAAGTTTTACCAGAGAAGTTAGTCGTCGTTCAAGCCAGTACACACAGCACGACGTCAAACTCTCGGAAGATTAATCTTCGTGCGTTCGTGAACCAGAATAAGTTACGGACTCATTGCCAAGGTGATCCATTCGGCAAGCCCGGTTCTCCGTAGATCATGATTCAACTTTGTCGAAGCTCATTATTCTCTCTGTCGAGGTACCATCTCGAAAGACAACAAACAACGGAAAATTTTCAGGATAGCTAAATCTCTACAATATATTATAAATCAAATGAACTGTTAAAGTCGAGTTGAACGAATGAAATACTATGCCGATAACTTGAATTCACATCCATTATGAATAAATTTTGAAATAACGTACTGTTCTCTGTTAAGACTTATATTCTTCGTCTTTTTAAAGAAATAAACAAAAAATATATATCAGTCTCGTGTGTCTTTTTAAAGAAATAAACGAAAAATATATCGTCAGTAAACTGACGTAATTTTTCGCGTTGCGTTCTTTTTTTAACAAGCGCACATGCAATTTTCACGAAGCACTATTCATAAATTTCAATTGTTTTTTTTTAATAATTAATTATTTAATAATTAATTATTAAAAAACAATTGAAATTTATAATAATTTATGATAATTTATAATTTATAATAATTTATAATAATTAATTATTTAATAATTTAGAATAAAGTAGATATGTGATATCAAAAATATATTTCTTTCTATATATATTTAATATTTTTTCTATATAACATTTATTATTTAATATTTGTTAGCAATGCTACATTAAGATAATTATAAAGATTATATACATAATTCATTTAATCACAAAAATATGAAATAAAATTTACATGAAAAGCGCAACCGCGCTTCCTTTCGAGATGCAAAGATTAATTATTATAATTTAGCCGTTAATGCTGTTGTTAATCATTGTTAATAGTACTTGGATTATATATCAGCATGTGTGACGTGCCTCGTAAATCTCATACATCGGCGTGCAAGTTCGAAAGGGAGGCGCAGCGTTTATGGCCCATCTCACGAGAAGGAGGGCCTTTTCGAGGAGCCGAAGAGCCGGGTTTGCCAAAACCTTGTCAAAACTTATGTCACGGATTTGCATGGCGGAACTACGCCGCCGCTCGAGCTTGGCTAATGCGCTTGCACCGGGTTAATCATCAACGTTCCCTTACGTAAAGTCGAACGAATTAAATGCTCAAACGTCCTCTCGATGTATCTTCTGACGCAGATTTTTGAACGTGTAGTCCGCCGCACGGCTATTATCGTTTATCACGGAAATATAGTCAATTACACGGCTTGCGAAATGATTTATAGCGAGTTAGTTTAATGACGCAGTAATTAAAGTTACTATTAAGACGATCGACCACAACCACGGAATCGCATTAATAACGGCAAACATAAATTACCATATTTTCAATTTTCGTTTTACTACTCCCCGAGTTGTAAAAAAGATCACTTGATTTTTCTACAAAGGTATTGCGAAAAATACTCGTTTACGAATAATGCCACGATGAGCATAATTTGAAGTTAAACACTGGCAAAAAAAATTTGTTATTAAATATAAAAAAAAATAAAAAAGACTAACAAGTAAAGGTGGTCGAAAGATAATAATCAAATAACAATATAAACACAGGCTTATTTTAAGGATCAACCAAATAAGAAATCAATTATAGGCAAGAAAAAATTGTATATAACATTAAGCAAATACAAAGACGTTAATAATCTCTCTTACTGATGTTAAAAAAGTTAAATTTGAAAATTACAAAAAAAAGATGCAAACGTTTCGACCCGCTTCGGATCATTTTCAATGCTTATAAATAAACGCTATAAATGTATACAGAGAATTTTGAAAATGTCAAACGACAGCATGGTATAAGCGCAAAAACCGAGAGACTTCCTATCATAATAGCAGACAAAAAAAACTTTCTTTTAAAAGATGTTAACGCAGAAAAATTAGGGTATTCAACGGAAAGCATATGGAGTGACGAGCCACTCGCGTATATTAAACAGTAAAGGCGGACGCAGGAATACGCACATAGAGGCAAGAAAGCCCCCATAAAGCTGCAACAATAAAAAAACACTTGAATCCAACGGAAACGCCATCGTTCAGTCGCGTAAAATTGCTCGTCATGATCTTCCAAATTCCTCGGATATTGTACAGATCTAAAAAAATCATGAGAAAAGAGGCAAAGTGACACGCACAGTCACATGCATGCCATGCACAGGAATAAAAACAGAAAATATAATTACGTACAGGTGGAGAAACCGTGATAGAGCCGAAGATTTTTTCTTGCCTATAATTGATTTCTTATTTGGTTGGTCCTTAAAATAAGCCTGTGTTTATATGGTTATTTTATTAAATATAAAATTGATAATATATTTGATGAGCATAATTTGAAGTTAAACACCGGCAAATAAATTTTTTATTAAGTATATCTCTTATTACTTAGGAAGAAATGTACTAGAACTTACTTCTTCTCGATCTAAACCGCTATGAGCGTTTTGAAGCGATTTTTCTCTACTTTGCGTTATATAGGAAGAACACAAATTTTCATGTCGTTAGAAGTGCTGAATATTCGCCTGATGGTCTGGTGCGTGCATAAATCGAACGTGTGTCTTCTTTAACGAGCGAAGCAAAATGCCACAGTGTCATTTTACACGGCAACTTACACGCTCGACACTGGTCGGAATCGGAGTTAAACGCCGGCCTTGCAACGTGATCTTTATTGGAACACAAATTGCTCGTGCTACCGTTTTTCACCTGCGATATATAGAATTTTTCGTCACGGGCAACGAATGACAAAGTTACGATACAAATATGTGCAATCAATCTTGTATTAATTATTTGTAATGTCTGACTAATAACTTATACGATTAGTCAAATTAAACATGTAAAAATTATTCGTAAAATTCTAATATTATTTTCTAATATTCTAACATAATTTTTGAATACAATTAAATTTTTTCAGTAAACCAATTTAACAAGTAACTTGCAGATTTAATATCCTCCGAAGAATGAATTATTTCTCAAGGATCGAAAAAAAAATAAATGTTTAAATATTTTTTTTTTTAAATTTATTCCACTCATTATGCAATAAATATTTACTGACTGTTTGAATTATTGAAGCTGTGTAGGTTGTAAAAGAATCGAATTACGAAAGAACGCAGAATGCAACGAATGTTGCAGCGTCATTTCGCGAAATATCCTTCTGCTCGACATGTCGTCGCATCAGACAAACGATTCCCATTTGCGCCAAATGTTCCGAGTCATTCGAAAACACCCGATTGAGGCCTGCAAGCTAGTTTGAAACTCGACCGAGTTAATGAGAGCTTTGGCCGAAGCTTTCGACTGCGAGCAACAGACGCGCGAGCAGAGTCGCGCTTGCGCTATCGCGACGGCATGTCGTTTCTCTCGCAGTCACCCGGTATTAACTATACTATAGGTACACACCTACCATCGTCATCATCGTCGTCGTCGAAGCGCATGGCGCCAGTTTGAAGTACGCTTCTCCTGCGGATGCACTCTTGCGTGGCGCGTGTCGTTGCGTTTTCTCATGTCAAGCTAGACCCAATTTTCCCAGTTTCATAGTGTCGGAAAACAAAATTGTACCTCACAATCGACGATTCCGAGGAAAATGGCAGTGACAGTTGAAGAAGTCATTGTTTTACAATCGCGTTGGGATGTTTATTTGCAGTGACATATGATTAAAAAACGCATAATTGCAAAAACTGCATTATATATTCGACGGCATAATCGTATCTAAAGGATATCCGAAAATATGTGTGAGTGCGCGTACTCGTCGACTTGAGCTATGCATCATTTAGTACGACTGCAATATTGATGTTGATCAATTCGAATATTTTAAAAAAATATAGTTTTCAATTATTTAAAATTCACTCTGACAAAGGTAGAAAATTTAATAATTGAATTTGAACGAACGCGTTATAAGAAACTCGCTTTTTTTTATTTCTTTATTTGGCGTAGAATACATTTTCTCTTGCCACAAAATGATATACAAATTTACAACAAATTCTACACGCTTCGTTCGACGATGATTTATGATATTTGTGACATCTATGAATTGAAAAAAGTGCGCAGACGTATATAAAAAAGCATGATGATGCAATGAATGATGTAAGAATATGTCAATGAATATGTCAAATGCGGGAATGGGAGAAAAATAAAATTAATTAAAATAATTATGACAATTGAATAAATGCGATTCTGTAATATTTTACAATTACAAAATGAACACTTATTATAAAAAAACATGTTACAAAAAAGACACGGTAAAAATAAAATCGCATTTATGCTCTTAGAGTCACAGTTTGTGGCGTGCAACACAATCGTGGTGAGGAAAGACGCGCTTGATCAGACACTGTCGCTTTCCCGCTACATTTTATTTACAGAGGCACCCGAAAGATTTCGTTCGAGGCGCGAGAGGCTGCGTTGTATCGTGCGTTATTGCGTCTATTTTCGACGGCGACTATTACCAGCGCTTAATATAGCGTACATTTATCTAATTAATAGCTATTAGCCGAGCGCCCGGCTTCGATTCCCGGTCAGCTTGTCGGCACGATGTTGTGTTAAGCCGAAAGCTTCCGGGCGTCTACTTTCTTTCGCGACACCTGTCAGTGAATTGATTGAACAATTTACACACTAACACCTATATCGAGCGATCTATGATTTTACGACCCACAAGAATCTATGCTTCCTTCATTTTCTTCGTCTCGAAATATTTATTTGATTCGACTTGATGATAGCTTAATTTTTTCCATGCGTGGTAATTAATTATTAGATACTGAATATATAATTTTCATCCACAAAAGATGTGACTCTTTCTCCGAGGATCGTGTATCGAAGATGCACGTATTTCGCGGATAAGCATAATGATTATTGTTGCATGCATATGTCAAGATCTGCAGGAAATCCTAGTTTTAGATCTTGCTCTCTCTTGGCAAACCAAATCTGTAACTGACTAACGGACATCCTCTTTACCGCGATGATTCACCTGCGGGCAAAATAGCTGCTTTCCAGGTAAAACCGTTTCTAAGATGGAAAAGCGTACGTACGCTATTATATTATTAATATTGTAATAATTCATTAATTTTTCGCTGCGTTATCCGCGTAGAGCGCTACCACCCTTTCTTGCTTACGTCAATTCACCTTATACAACTTTCATCGACGCCAATCGGCATGTTTTATTCAGCGCGTGCAACAGAATTGTGCAAAAATAGCAATGCATTTCCGTGAATTACGTAAAATGTCAACATCCAAGAACCATATTCTTTTGGCATTTCTATGATTGTCGATAAATTATACAGTAGTCTCTGACAGTCGTGTAAATTCTTCTAGGAATATTACATTATATATATATATATATATATATATATATATAAATTAATAAATATTAAATATTTACAGAAATTTCAAGATATAAAATATGAATTCAAGCTATTTTTGAAATTTGTAAATATTTTATATAGCAATATTATTATCTTACAAAGATTCGGAAGATGTAATTTTTATTGGTTTTGTAATTTATTATTTGTAATGTTTATTAAATGTAAATTATGTTCCATTACATTAAATTTATTTTAACGTAAGATCATAAAAAAGTGAACATTGTACGCTGCCATTTTAATGTTTCGAGAAATTTTATAGGATACTATATACAGAGGATCTAAAAATTTCTCGTCGTTATTTTCGAGTGAAAATCAGGGAATACGAAACCGATACGTTCTTTAATTCCGCTATCTTTAATGCCAGATTTATCAGGATTATCTGTTGGCGGGACAGCGTACAGCACTTCGATATTATTCGCTTAACACATACATATATGGAAAGCCACGTAAGATCATGGACGTGTCCTCTAAACTCCGCCTCGACAAGTCGATCGGACATGTCGATTGAAAGATTAGCTTCGCGAGCTGACGGCATTGAGATTTTACTCAAAGTGATCTGACATTAGCGTTCGAGCGAGAGAAAGAGAGACAGATGGAGGGCAAGAAGATGAAACCGATCAAACGAGGCTATCCTCGATATGTCAAATAAACGGCTTAGTTATTAACTTGGTCAGTAGTCAGTTTCAGATATTTATCTTTGATGTCGAGAGGGATTCGATCTCCCTGCTCTTCGAGATCCTTTTTGCGCGCTCGGCCGACGATCTTTCCCCACTATAAATAACCGGACGACTATGAATCGTGGCGATTTCCGCAATGAAAATAAATTCACCGATACGTGCGTCCGCGTTTCGCTCACCCGTCATTCGCATCTCGTGGCAGGACGGGCGCTGCAATTATTTTCGCGAGGATAGCCAGCACCCACTCGCCGCTGATCGTAAAATAAACCATGAATATCGATTTGCCTAAATTATAAACTACGCTCGCACACGTGATATATAATACAACGCCGACACGATGTTTACGTAATAATGTCCGCGCGTCTCGTTTAAGATGACGAGATAAACTGGATTATCCGGAAATACGTTTGATACTTCGAATTCGACTCGCTCGAATATATACATATTTTCAGACGATATATTATACGCGCACGTATCTTACGGAATTGTTAATATATAGCGTTGAAAAAATTGCGGAGTTTTAGTGTAAATTTTATAGGACGTATCAGAAGCGATTGTAATGGGAAATGACGAAGCTTATAGAAAATATACACAGTAAAAAATAAAATGTTAATTTTAACATTTTTCACGTGTCCCAGAAAATCCACTCTAAATTTTAAGTTAAAATAATAGATAAAATAATTTGTTCATCATATGTTACTTATTGACAAACTAAAAATGTTAAATAATTGTGACACAATATTTTACATTTATTTTTGTTACCGTGACTTTAAGTGTAATGTAAAAATAACATACAAATTAATTAAAAATTACATGAAAAAATAGTTACAATAACTCGCAAGAAATGTTGAAGACATTAACATGTAATAGTTATTTTAACTTAAATTATTTGTAATAGAAACATTTGATTTTAGTAAATTTGATTATTTTGTATGTCAAAGTTCAAGATTATTTGAAGATTTACTTTAACTTTTCTTAAAATGTTAAACTGACTTTGAAATATGTTGATTAGTTAAAATGATTATATTAAAAATACTCAAAATAATATTCCATTTCTAAGAGACATATACAAAGTGTTGAGTTATGAAGTTGACATAAATGTAAGACATGAAAACGTTAAAATAATAACATATAAATTGTATGTTAATTTTACATTAAAGTCCTAACCAAAATGTGGTAACACAAGAAAATTTTAACATATGGACGCACAATTTTTTACTGTGTAAATATGTTTTCTCTTATAGGGCATATTATCAAGTTCAAGATAAACTCTGTTTCCTAAATCTTTAACTTAACTCGTTAATTAACTCGTTCTTTTCGAGTACATATTGATTATCGATAATTATCATAATCGCATCTCGGTGTCTGACAATCTTTAAGGATGTTTTGCACCTGTTTTCAAAATATGAGAATTTAATGAAAATTGTAGAGAATGTCCTTACATATGTTTAGAATCTTCAGTACAAGTTTTAAATCAATTCACTAAAGCGTTTACAAGTTATAAGGATTATAATTTCCACCAAATTAACGTGTTCTTATGGGAAACGTGTAACCACGTCGATTCAAATGACAAAAACACATGGAAATAATATTCAGAATTTGTTGAAAATTTGCAAAAGTTTAGGTATGGAGGAAATATTTGATCAAATAATATTATACAAGTACTAATTGATTAAAAAGATATTAAATATAATTCAATCAAGTTAGCCATGTATCTGTCACAAGGCGAAATTCTCTGCCAAAAGTTAATCATTTCGATTAAGGATGTTTTGTACTTATTTTCAAAATATTGAGAATTTAATGAAAATTGTACAGAATGTCATTACATATTTTTAGAATCTTCAGTACAATTTTTAAATCGATTCACTAAAGTGTTCACAAGTTACAAGAATTTTAATTTGCACCGAATTAACATGTGTTCTTATGGGAAACGTATAACCACGTCGATTCAAATGACAAAAACACATGGAAATAATATTCAGAATTTGTTGAAAATTTGCAACAGTTTAGATACAGAAGAAATATTTGGTCAAATAATATTATACAAGTACTAACTGATTAAAAAGATATTAAATATAATTCAATCAAGTTAGCTATGTATCTGTCACAAGACGAAATTCTCTGCCAAAAGTTAATCATTTCGATTAAGGATGTTTGTACCTATTTTCAAAATATTGAGAATTTAATGAAAATTGTAGAGAATGTCCTTACATATTTTTAGAATCTTCAGTACAATTTTTAAATCGATTCACTAAAGCCTTCACAAGTTATAAGGATTTTAATTTGCACCGAATTAATATGTGTTCTTATGGGAAACGTATAACCACGTCGATTCAAATGACAAAAACACATGGAAATAATATTCAGAATTTGTTGAAAATTTGCAAAAGTTTAGGTACGGAGGAAATATTTGGTCAAATAATATTATACAAGTACTAACTGATTAAAAAGATATTAAATATAATTCATTCAAGTTAGCCATGTATCTGTCAGAGGCAAAATCAGAAGGCGAAATTCTCTGCCAAAAGTTAATCATTTCGATTAAAGATGTTTTATACCTATTTTCAAAATATTGAGATTTTAATGAAAATTGTACAGAATGTCATTACATATGTTTAGAATCTTCAGTACAATTTTTAAATCGATTCACTAAAGCGTTCACAAGTTACAAGGATTTTAATTTGCACCGAATTAACATGTGTTCTTATGGGAAACGTATAACCACATCAATTCAAATGATAAAAACACATGGAAATAATATTTAGAATTTGTTGAAAATTTGCAAAAGTTTAGGTACAGAGGAAATATTTGGTCAAATA